GGGTTCTCACCGGACCAGGCTCTCACATCACCAAGCGCGAAGCGCCGTGAGGTATTCGGCGAGTCGCATGAAGGGTGCGCTGCATGCTGCTAAGGGTGTTCGGCATCTTGTGCTTACTTCCTTGCGTACGACGGGGCAAGGGGGGTGATTTAGTCTTGATGTTTACGACACTGCTCCACATTGACTGCACTTGGTTTCCGTTCTGCTGGTTGGACGCCGCGCTCCCATGCATTTGTATCGTGTTCGTCAGGAGGTGCACAGTGTGTCTTGTGTTTTCGTATTGAAAAGCAACAAACCCATCCCAACTCACAGAGAGAGTCCAGGATCATTTTGCGATTGATGAATCCACGTGTGAAAGACCAGGCCTGGCTGTGTATCTACTGATGTCCGAGCAGCATACTGCTGTACAGTCAGTGGTTATGTAGCAGTATTTTACTACGTATTTTTGCGAAATTTCCTGCCGGGTCTAAGTTCGTTACCATGACTGAGGTATCGACTGCTCGAGCATTCGGGCCGATGCCACTTGCGCGCTAGAATTCTCGGGTAAACATGAACATTTGGCTGCTCTGGCTTGGGCGTCTTTGTTTGGTTGCGAGCAGGATTCTTCTGGGGGTATGGCGATGCTGGCTTTTACCGCACTGGGCGCGCTGGTGCTCATGTACCTCATGCTCCAACCCGCACGAGCGCCAGCAACGGACGATGACGAGTCGGCTGCGGATCGGCCGCCACCTCCGAGGAACTTCACCATCGAACAACTGCATGTACGATGATTGTTCGAATCTCCAAGCATAAGTAGCGGGGGTTCTGCTATTTTTCAGCCGGCCTGGTAACCACATGAGAAATACTTGGTTTGGCACAACCCGCCCGTAGCTTTTTTTGCTGTCAGGGAGGAAACCAATCGGGGGCGCTTGTACTACTACTACTATTGTTGGTGGTCTTTCTTGCGTCACACAACATTTCGATGAAGTGGATGCTGGGTTCTTGCTTGTAGGTGTTCTGCATTGCAAACGTTTCTTCCCCCTTTTGATTGGTCTTGAGGCTGACATAGGCATGTACTGCTGCAACTTGTAGCAGTGCTAGTGGCACTTTTAAAGGCTAATGCTGATGGTGTTATCTACTGAGAAGGAGTACAAAAAATTGGCCAACTACTGAACGTCATTTTCAGGACACTTAATCTTTGTCGTGCCATGAGCAGACGGGCGAGAGAGCATCGAGAGAACATACGGAACCTTACCGCTGCTCTGGCTGCGTCTACCCTTGTCAGATAGCGCCTTTCCTTTCTGTGTCCCATCTCATCAAGTGCAGGTGTGTTTTTTAGTTACGACTACATTGTCACCCCCACCTTTGAAGTGGTACTCCTTCACCCCCTCACAAAAACAAATCGACACCATGGCATCTTGATATGACAAGGAGGTCGAAATCGTTACCCCTACCCCGCACAAGCGAGACTCGGATTGTTTTTTGGTCTCTCACGGTCTTGTTGGACCCCGCTTTCGTTCCCTCCCTGCATACCTGTACAGACAGATTTGTGTTGCAAAATCTATACCCCTCTCGGTTCTGTGTACATGTATGACCTGACCTCCACTCCTTGTCACTAAACATAGGAGTTCGATGGTCGTGACGAGGCTACTCCCGCCTACGTGGCCCTGAGGGGCGAAGTGTTCGACGTCAGCTCCAAGCCGGAGCACTACAAGGTAGGCGGTGGGTACCACCTCTTCGCAGGGCACGACGCCTCCTACAGCCTCGCCACGGGATCGCTCGACCCGGCGGATCTCGAGAAGAGGTCAGTGCGCGTGTGTGCGACGTGTGGGAATTTTCAGGGGTTCGCGATGGGTCTGAAACTCTTTCTTGAATCCGTTTTTCTAGTTGGTCGTGAGGTTTCACACTTCTTGGTACATGTATTTCTCATCGCCAGGACCAGCGAATTCACTCCCTTGAATTCGTGTTTTCTCTCACTCTCCCTTTTCTTAGCACTCGCTCTTATCCCGTAGCCGCTACTGCTGTGTGTAGTCTTGCTCTTGCTCTTGCTCTTGCTTACCCCCAAAAACCACGGGTTCTTGTAGATACATCTACGCCTGCCGTTGCCCGTATTTTCCTGAAAGGATGCTGGGTGAGAACCGGCGTCGGTCGATCCACCAACATCGGTCGTCCGCCTATACAAGTTTGAACATTCGGCGGAAGAATTGCCTCACCTGGGTTTACGTTACGCCCGCCCCCCTTCTCTCTCTGGCTATGCATTATGTATATCATACGCTGCTGATCCAATTTTTTCTTTCAGGCCGTCTAGTGTCGTACGTCATCGCTCATAGTTCAATGGGTCTGCGCGATGTCGTTTTTTCTTTCTGTTGCGCGTGCGGTGCTGCTGCAGCTGGTCAGAGCTGAACGTGATGGAGAACGAATCTTTGGACGGATGGGTGGAGAAATACAAGAACTTCTCCGGGTACCCTGTCGTGGGAAAGGTGCCTTCCTTCATGCTGTCACTGTTGCAGGCCAAATTGTCGATGCCGGTGGGGGGGCGGGGGCGGGGTGGTATCGCTTATCGCTTATCGCTTATCGCTTATTTCTGCTGTCGATATCGAATCCGTCATATGCTGTTGCTACTGCTGTATGGTTCTACTGGTGGTGGTGCTGGTTTTCCGGTGCTGGCCGTTGTTTGCTTTCGTGTTCTTCTTTTGGGGCCCAAGACGAAGTCATTACCTCAACAACAACAACAACAACAACAACAACAACAACAACAACAACAACAACAACAACAAGGGCGATAACCTTTACCCCTTGTTTCTATGTCGCTGTAAACGGTCAGGTCGTGACGCCTCCGGCACATCCGCGAGAATTTTCTTTGGAAGAGCTGCGGCCGTTCGATGGGACCAGCGACATCCCAGAGGGTCATGCCGCACCTCCCATCTACGTGGGAGTGAGGGGAAAGGTATTGTACTTGTATGCCAAAGATGGTGTGAGTCTGCGTCGAAACAAAGGACGTGCTGTTTGAGACTACTCAAATGGACTGCTATCCATGTCCCATTTTTCAAGTCAGGGTAGTGAGGTCCTTTTGATTCCAAGCTGCCACGCGGGGCTACATACATTCCCGAACCATTTGTTTTGAGTCGGTTTTTATGGATGGCTTTGCTCTGAGTGGTGTGTGCCGATCTCTGCAACACTAGGCTCCCGCACACAAACTCCGTTGTCAAGGGTTGTCGATGAATTTATCGTACTACTGTGCGCTACGAACGACGTCGTCCCTTTTTATTTGTTCTTGTTGTCCTCTCGTGGGCGAGTGGCCACTGCTGCATTGAGCATGAGTTTTCCCACGGCGACATGATGCACCTCTCTCTCTGCTGCCGTGGCCACAAGGCGCGGTGTGGAGTGATGTGTAGCACCAGCGCTTTGAATGGTCAGCGAGGCTCCTTACCACCTCCATATTTTTTCTTTTCGAGCTGGCCGTCGTGCTTCCTTGTGCACGTCATGCGAGCACTATCAGTTCTTGCATCGCAAATGCCATTGGCAACATGAACGCATGCTTTTGCTCAATCGACATGGATGATTTGCGAAGCTTGTGTGTGCTTCCCTGATTCTTCCACGACTCGGCGTCCATTCTCTATCGACGCATCTACCTAACCCTAAATCTAACCGTAAGTCTCCTTACACGCAGGTGTATGATATGTCCTACGGGGGGACAGAAATGTACGGTCCCGGGAAATCTTACAACCTCTTCGCCGGGAGAGATGCGTCCGTGGCACTAGCAAAGGTCAGTCAGTCAGTCAAGATACATATATATCCCCGCAACGCTTCAAAGCAACAGAAGAGGTACACAATAGATGGGGGGTTATGCACTCATGGCCATGCATGCCGCAGTCGTGACCTCGCATCCCTACAAAGCCGGGACGGAGCACGTCGGGTTCTCACCGGACCAGGCTCTCACATCACCAAGCGCGAAGCGCCGTGAGGTATTCGGCGAGTCATATGAAGGGTGCGCTGCATGCTGCTAAGGGTGTTCAGCATCTTGTGCTTACTTCCTTACGTACGGATGACAGCTGCGTATGACTTAATTCTTGTCCTGGTGCTTTCACTTTCAGAGACAGCAGTGGTAAGCGCTGTGTAACTGCCTCGAGGGTGCTTGACCATTTAACACAATGTAGTGCGACCATCCCCTTTGCGCGGAGTGAGGGTTCTCGACCCCGCACAACATTATCTACTCGACCACCATTCATGATCCAGGGAGGGGGACGGGGGGTCGATCACGAGTGTCGGCTTGTGCTACCCATGTCATGTGCATGGCTACGGCATCCCTGTGCTCGTCGAAGACAGATCCGCACCACAGACGCCCTGTTTACTCTTTCGATGTCGTAACCCTGATGTTCTTCGTCCGTGTCCTACACGCGCAGATGTCGTTCGCCCCAGAGCACCTGGACAACCCAGACATGAGCACTTTGAGCGAGGAGGACATGACGGTGCTGCAGGACTGGGCATCCAAGATGGAAAAGAAGTATCCGGTCGTCGGCACCATCGCCAACAGTGCACCGTAAAGGCTGCTGCTGTTGTCAAGAGATTGTGGCATTTCTCTCGTGCGCCATTATCGTGGGTTAGGGGGCAGAATCTTTCGGCGAGTCGTGCCATGAAACTATCGACGGTATGAGGCATTAGACCCAAGGTGTTGTCTACGAACTCGCGTGCGGCCATGTTGATGATACTCGGAGTATGATCGAAATCACCATGGACCCTCGTTATGCACGGTGTTGGAAGGTTCTGCTCTAGACGATATGAAGCGGCTGTACTCGCCACACATACCCAGGCATCTCTCTCCGCTCTCCTTTGCGAAGACTCTTTGCTAGGCACCACCGCCATTATGAGTGCGCTGGTGCTGTTCTAGCTGCTCGCTCTGTTGTCCTCTGTGCCTCAGACCCTCCTCTTGGCACGCGGGGGGGGGAGGGGGTCAAACTTGATCAGCTCCATCCCTTCGGTTGTGTTGCCTCCCTTCAGTCCATCGATCTTCGGGATAGCTTACGGTAGATAGGGTCCTTTTGCCTTCGAAAGTTGTTCTTGTTCTTGTTTTCGCGGACCCAAAGGGATCGGAGCTGAGTTACCGCTGAGCGTGCGTACAGTGTTGAGAGTTGTTGCACCAAACGATTTTCCCGCGATTTTACACCGCTGTTAGTTTCACGTTTACAATCTCTTGCACACCTGTTTGGGGTAGCCCTCTTGTTTATGGATTGCATCGCACCTGGTGTGGCCGTCAAGAGGACGAAGTTTTGTTGATGACTTGGCGTCGCCGCACTGTAGGCGCACCTCGTTACATACATGTGTTCGCGCTGAGCATGGCGAATGGTCATGGCGAGATTTTCAGGCTGTTTTCGTTGTACATACGCATATACTTCATTTCTAATTAAGAAAAAGTGTTTTGTTTTTTTTGTTCCGGGCTTGGTCTATACCTGGTACGTTGTTGTATGCATACCTCTCTCTCCTCTTTAGGGCCACGACTAGGCACTCCATGTTCCGGATTTACGTTGTGCTAGTTCTGTTTTTGTTCTGTACCTGGATTCCGAGCGAGGTTACTAAGTGGTCGACCTACCTGCAGCAGAAGGGATGATCGGATGCCCGCGAGTAAACGGGCGAAAAGCAAGCAGTGTTGGGCTTTGGGGCAAGCCTGGGGGGTGATGTTTGCCTCCAACGGGGGAAGACGTCAATATACAACTCAAGCGGCGGGGGCCACGCCGTGCTAGTTACACCTGACTGCGCTGTGCCAAAAAAAATGAAACTACTGCTGTAAATGTGTCTACATATGTTCAAGGTGGACGGATCGACTATCATACCGAATGACATCGTTTTCATCGGGAACTGTTGCTGAAGCGTCCGCGACGTTGTGGCAAAGGATGGAACAGCAGAGGGGTGGGCATGAACGCAAGGAGGGAATACATGCCCTTGAGAGAGATTGGTCGAGGTGACTTTCTTGGAAAACTTTCAGAGCCTTGGCCGGACCAACATACTACCGGTCGCCCCGGTGGTCTAGTGGGTAGCCTCGCAGCCTGCTAAGGGCCAGGTTATGGGTTCGAGTCCCGGCAGATAGTTTTTTCCTCACTAAATATATCCTGGTCTAGAATGAAAGCGACGCGCTGCAAAGCTCGTTTGTTAGTAAACCATAATCGACTTCGTAAGTCGCGAGGGAAGGGATTGCTGTACCCTTCTCGCGATAAAAATACCTCAGGCATGAACCGCAGGAGAGGGTCCAACCCCCCCTCCTATGTGACCCCGGTTGGGTCGTCTAGCTAGAAGAAGTGGAGGATAGGGGCCAGAGGGGCAGACGACAGAGTCCAATGATGGGAGAAAAACAAAAAAAAACTACATACGACGCGCTGGCAGCTATTCCGCATGCATCCATAAACGTAGGCCAACCGCCTCCGATATCTTTGCTATCACTGTCGACTCTCAACCCACTCAACCGAGCTTGAAGCGGTAAGAATCAACGCCCATCGCGAACCGAAAACGCCTGCTGCAGTTGCTCGCACCCCGCCGACAACATTCAACAACCCGCCGCTGTGGGGTGTGCGCCAAAAAACCAACTACGAGGCTGGCACTACATACCGAGGCAGGCTCTACAAACCGGAGCTCGAGTGCGGAACATTTAACATGTGGTACACGTTAGAACAGTTTTGCTCAGAATTTTCCGAGCTTGGTGACGATATACACGCGCACGGTCTGATCGAGACAGCTGAGGCAGCACAGCCCCTCGCGGTCCGGGCTCCAGTCGAAGCTGACGATGGGCTGCGAGGAGATGACCCTTGAGTTGAGGAGCTCTACCTTGCCAACCACGCCCATCGGGATATTCTCCTGCAAGTTTTCATGTTCGTTTTTCGTTCCCATGGTCGTGTTTCGAAAACATGAGACATGGAGGAGAAAGGAAAGGGTGCATCACGAGTCGTGTGTCGTGTACATCACCAACAATAACAACCGCGGAATATTGTATGTTGTGATACGAGAGTTTTACAAGATCGATCTCGGCCATTCACTTGCTATCGTGTGGTAGGTTTTGCGTGCGCCTTTATGTGACGAACAACAACAACAACTCGGCCCATGTGGCAAACGAAGCACCACGTAGGGTCACCGAACCCAAACCGTAAACCTACCTTGTCATTCTTCGTACGCGAGGTCGGGTAGTGGTACTTGTACAGGTTGAAGCCGCCGTTGCCTCCCCCGGTCATGAAAAGGTCTCGGTTCTGAGGGAGATGCCTCGCGAGCCACACCGTGGACTTGTGCGCCTTCTCGCTGAGGTGTGCGAACCCAGCCTCCGGGTGCTGCGTCCGCATGTCGTACGTGCGGAACTTGGACTCGAGCGTCGTAACGACCAACTGGGCGTGCGACAAGCAGAAATGAGGCAATGTTCGACGCGATAGGGTGTGAGGGGGCGTTGTTGGCGCTGGAAAGTCGGCTTCCACGCGGGCCGACAACGCAGGGAACGTAAGAGGAAAGCTATTCTGATGCGAAGGCCGCGCTGATGCCGGAAAGGGCTCGGGAGGACACCGATATCGGGTACACCAGATGCAACGTTCGTGATGGAAGGGTCTTTGAAGTATTTTTGGTCGCGCCGAATGGAGAATGCAGATCACCCCCAGACGCGGAATACTTACCCCCCTACCCGCGCAAAATACCGTGCGCTACAGCTCTCATCATACTCGAGTCGTCGGAGCTGCAAAGTGTCAAGTCCCATACCATCCGGATTCCATACCGTAGGTGGGATGCTACAAAGCAGTATGGTACTTCGATGCAGCGAGCGATGCCATTTACCTGCCAAGATTCGTGGCAACAAAACGATTACGCACAACACGCATCGCAGCCGACCTTGTTCATCTCGATGTCGTTTCGGTCGAAGTCCAGGTCGGTAACTCCATTCTTAACGTTAGTCTCCCACCGCATAGTCTGCGTCCTGAGGTCGAAAAGCTTGACGTCGCCGTTGTCGTAACCAGCGGCCAAGCAGCGGTCTTCGTCCGTATAGGCGTTTCCGAATGCAACGGTCCAGCAATCCCGTGCGGTCTGATCGAGAGAAAAAGTGTGTTTGTTGATTGATCAAGCAAAGAGGGACGCTGCGGGTTGGCATTTAGATACAAAAGAACGTTGAGCTTGGATCGATCGTAACGTTCTGTTAATACCCCGAGAAAGACATACCGTAAATGACACAAGATAACGCACCCCCTGGACCGATTTTTTCAAAGCTCGATTTCTCAACAACAAATAGAGTTACGGCGCCGAAAACAGCGGCGTTGGAACCGTCCTGTCGAGCGCTTTCCAAAAATGTATCGTTTTGTTTATGCATCCGCTTCGTCATGGAGTAATCGAGCTTTGAAAATCGGTCCAGGGGGTGTGTTATCTTGTGTCATATACGGTACGCGACAGTGGTAATGATCCTTGTGGGTGACACACGCTGTGTGCAGTGCTTGGCGCCGCAACGCAAACATTTTCTCGAAGCTTGCAGAAAGTGGGGTACTGTAACAGCTGTGCTGTGCTATTGAGCCCCTGAAGCCAAAAGTCGGGGGTGTCTCTGCGCACAAAAAAACTTCTGCGTGGAACCCAAACTCAATGCAGTGGCACACGCCAGTATTGGTAACAGCAGTCCACGTACAGGGCGATTAGTTTCTCTCACCTCTCCCTCTCTTGGCTCCAGCTTCACAACTGGCTCGCTGATCCTAGGGTCCCACACGCGGACACACCCATCTCTTCCTCCGGTTACCTAAGAAACATGAAACAAGTTCACTGTCAATGAAATGAGCTAATCGTCCACGAGAACGTGTTGGCCTTGCAGTAGTCTGTGGACTTGTCGCAGAGAAATGGTGGGTGGGTGGGGGCTATTGGTCCCCTCCATGACGACCACCAGCGGGGACCAGTAGCATGATGTGGAATACACTCAACATTACAGAACTAACGGATTCGCATGAGCCAAGGGAGCTGGCCGACAATGGGATTGAGGCCTCTTGTTCGTAGGATGTAGGAGTATTCCTCGAGATTTGTCGGAGCATGTGCCTTTGACTGTGGGTGTAAGTAGATTCGCCGTCCGAAACAGCCATCGGTTACGCCACAACACACAACGCTGTCGGACGGTTACTCGTACTCGTACTCGTACTGCGGGTAAAATATATCGGCAGGAGAACACTTGATGGAACCACCAAAGCATTGTGCTGCAATGCACACAAACGAATGTGGCACTGCATAAGGAAGAGCAAGCCCCGGCCGTGGTTAGCGAGTCGTCCGAAAGCAATAGTTGTGTGACTAGGCAAGCCAAGGCTGGTTCTGAAAAACCACTTTTGAGAATTCCGTCTAAGCTCCTCCGATGTAACCATATTTTGGCGGTGGTGCGTTTTCTGGAGATCCTGCCTCAGTTCGCTCGCTCACCAGCTCGGGGGCCCCGTATGTAGACTCCGGTCCCCCCAACCCATCCACGGCGTTGATGATGGACTTGTGAGCGCTTGCAGACCAGGCCGCGACGTCGTTTCTCTCTAGATCGTAGATGGCAAGCTTGCCGTTGTAGTCCCCGCAAGCCTGCGACAGACGGTAGATTGAGTACCAAGGCAAGGGTGGGGGCCAGGGGTGAGGGTGAGGGTAGAATTCTTTCGCCAAAGACTTTCGCAAGTGGCATCCACCGATCGGGGTATACATATTCAGGTCTCTGCGCACCCTCGTAACTCGTCTTAACGCCCTCCACCGGTCAATCGCGATGCTTCGGCACCAGGAGTTGATCTTAGCTACGTCGCAACTTGCCACAGCCAGCGTTTGGGTTCTAGGCAAACTGTGTGCTCGGAGTTGAGACAGAATCACAGGCAGTTGTCGTGGCGATGGCAATGATGGGCTGCATTGAGGTGGAACGCTGAACGGACTATCAGCTACGACCTCCTTTGCTGCCACTGTTCCGTGCCCCGGTTATGAAAGTAGTAAGCAATCACAGCTTCCAACTGAACGCGAGTCAGCAGCAGCATGCTCAAGTTCATCGCAGTTTTCAGTCGGCGTCCTGAGATTGGGGCGAGACTGACTACACAAAGTGGACCTTTCTTTCAGAGGTAGGCAGGGAGGGTCCTAACGGGGGGAATAAGAAGCTCACCAAATATCGGTCCTCTAGCGACGACGCTCCGAAAGTACAGCACTTGATGCCTGCGTCCGTCTCCCTCTCATGAACAAGCTTGAGTTTGCCCTTGTTGAGCTCGTACACCTGAACGCACAACCAACCGACACCGATTAGATATGCACTGTCAAACATTGTGTGGCATGGCCAACCAACCACCCACGAGAGCCGTTGCCAGACAACACGAACGTTCGGTTCTCGCAACACATTCATGCCTGCCAACATCAGAGGAATTTGGGTTGTTCGGTCTAAATAACGCTGTGTACATCTCTGCCCGGAAAAATACTTACAGCGATACTGGAAGCTTCCATTCTTCGACAACAGCAGCGTAACACTTCCACTAAGTCCTGAGGAGTCCAAGAATGGATTATCCTGTCCAATCGCCGCGGCATTGGTTCTCATCCACAACATTTTGTGTGCGAGGGAACACATGCCCACATAGTCTACACAACCACAGCGCAGACTACTTTCCAATGCGAACAAGTGCGCAGCCCAACGTTTGGATCAACTCCTCAATGAGCTCCAACCTGAATACAAGAGCACCATGCATGTTACTGTGGCGGTTGGGCAATTGAACCCCGTTTGCGAGATGGCATTCCTCGTCGAGCAGGGGGCTGAAAGCGGCGATATGATATGACTTCTCTCAATCGCGGGGAAGGTGTGCATGAGTTGTAGACTATCACGTGCGGCGTACCCCAAAGTAGCCGGTAGAACAGCCATGACCTACCGCAGAGAGTAACTCACTGCTGGCAACGTTGTGCTGTCGCTCTGTACTGTACGGAACAAGCACCATACAGGACAAAAGAAGGGTGTGATCAAGGCAGTCGTATCCGTAGCCCTTGATCATGAGACCATAGCTGCCATGGCCGCCAACCGTTAGAAGTAAGGGCAGATAGATACGACCATGAAGATTGCGAAGATCTGCAGATAGATCCTGCTTGTTGAGAACCTCGAAACCTCACCACTAAAGCGCCCTTGGCACGCGGGTGTATCCCAGTGACGACGAAACGAGCGCTGCACGGCACCCATCGTGTGTCGTTCGGTGTGAACGTGATCGACTTGTGGATGTGCTCCATCATCTGGGGCGCGTCGGTAGTGTCCATGGTGTGCAAAGCGCCTCTACTATCAGGGTCGAGTTTGCAATCCGCTTGTGTGTTACACAAACACAGGCGTGGCCGCCAAATTTTGAGGGAGGCCCTGGTGTCGGAATAACGAACAGCTTTTTTTCCTCAAAAGATCAATCGCCACCCTCCCCGTCTCGATCTCTCCTCCTCTCTGCAGAGGGCTCTCGATTGTCCCAGTGCTGTTTTCTCTGCGACGCAGCAGAGCAGAGAGGCTGGACTTGACAGTCGCCGTGCTCCGTGGAATGAACGTCTCAGAGAGTCAGGGGAGGGGGGTTCCGCAAAATGATAATAGATTTTCTGGCGTCTTCTCTCCTTCGTGTGCTCTCGCAACTCGCCATCCCTCGCTGGCTCGCTGGCTGAATCTCAAGCAAAAAAGACTCAAGCTTGACAAGGTTTGCATTGCTAGGGGTTAGTATACGCCAATAGTGTTAAGGAACACGCGGAGCTTGGTCTGAAGAGGAAGGAGCTTCTCCTTTGCTGAACACAAAGATGGTGAGTCTGTTAGAGACACCTAGACATGGTCGAAAGTCGCGTTGTTGCTGGGTTGGTTGCCTTGTTCCCTTGCTCTGGCGCGGAAACTGCTTGTTATATTGATGCACCATGGGTCTTACACAGCAGTATTTCCGAAGTTCTTGGCCCCTCAGCAGACTTTGTTATGGCAGCGCGACATCCGTTGCCGATTGCAACGCACTCCGGGTGTGTGTTTTTGACATGGCCAGTCTAACCTTCCAGATGCTGCAGTAGCAACGCAGATGTAAGTCGATGCGTTCATCCGTCCACAAAGCTCAAGCTCGTCGTTTGTGCTGAGATTTGGAGCTATGACTCTCGCTGCGTGCAGTATGCCCTGCGAGAAGCATGTCCAAGGAAGGTGCAGCTTTGGTGTCCACTTTCGCACTTGTGCTTTTCGTGACCGCGACCGCTTTGTGCTTCTATGAGATCGCGATATCGGCAGACGCTGTAAGCGATAGAGATGACAACGCGTTGCGGTTACATCCTGATTAATGAAATTTCCACGGCTTGGTTCTGAACACCCTTTTATGTCAGGGAGCACCTCTGGCGCCTACGGTAGTGTAGACTCTATCTACGGTCTATTGCTGTGATTGAACAGATGCCCCAAGCTTCAGACTACGCTCTTGGGGGGGTGATATCTTACATATAGATATATGCGGTACCTTCGTTGCCGTGTTGACATTTTCTCTCAGTTTAAACAGCGCGGGTCACCAAGCGTGCTTGCATACGCCCACAGCTGTCCATCACACTTGTTTTAGGAGTATCTCATGTAAACGTTTTTGTTGCCAACAACTCATGTTCTTCTAGATTAGTCTACTACACCGACGTTCGTGTGGGGACTACTTCAAGCCCGATATCTCACGTTTGCCAGCCTCCGCTACAATATTGGTCGCTGGATTTGGACGTGCTGTCAGCCTTTGCGGTACGGTTTCACGTGGAACCTAAGCCGAACCCAAGAAGGGAGACAGGCTCAACTCACCGTGGTAACCAAGAGCGTCCGCAGGTGCAGCAGTCAACACACGCTTTCTGCGCGTCGTCTTGCTATGCGACGCCTGCTTTGACCCGGCCCTTGTTGCTAGCCGAGAGCGCTGCTCTGTAGATCTCCACGGTTGAGGGGTGGGAAAGGTTTTGTGAGGCTCCGTATGCTCAACTTTAGCTTTGATCCTTGAGATGGATTACAGCGTGCGCCTCTTCGGATTCTAGTCTCTGGCGTATGCATCTCCACGGGTGGGCTAAATAAGTGTCATGGTGTTTGGATCCTGGGTCTAAGATATAGATATCATCCGGTGGGTTGTCTTGCAGAAATACACCGACCACCTGTCCAGCCTCTTTGTGTCCCGAGATTCTGAAAGCAACGGGACATTGATTGTTAGCAGCAGTTAAGAAGTTTATATTGGTCCCCTGTTGCTAAGTGTTGCCTGGGAGTGTGCATTGTTTCGCGAGCGACTGAGAGAGAAAGGAAGCCTGCCGACGACGCCAAGTGTAAAGTGTGCCGAAACGGAGCGGATCCGACCGCTAGTTGCAGGTTACCTGCTTCGTTTCAGTTCAATGCCTCCCGTACCTTCCTTTCTCTCGGAGTTCTCGCTATGGCCCACTCCTAGGCAACATTGAGCACGAGGGAGCGCCTATGTACACTTCGCGCTGCGGCTATCAAGCATTGTTCCGTTGTTGGCATAATCTCGGAACACAAAGAGGCTGGGCAGGTGGTCGGTGTAAATCTGCAAGATATACCCGCCCAGGTGGTATCTCAGCCCAACGGTCTAAATACCACGACACTTTGCTGCTATATCGTGGGGTGCAACGAAATAGACATGCGCATACCTCCCTCCGAACTTCAACTGTAGGCATCAAACATGCCGAACGCTAGTAAGTCACCAGGCTATGTTTTCTGCTTCGGTTCGTCGCGGAAACTGTTTAGTTGTCGTGTCAGCCTACCCCCACCAACCCAGGTGTGTTTGCTTGTGTCTCACGTGTTGCCCCTCCTGTTATCGCTGCCGCCAGTCTATCCTGGAGTACAATGGTGCGGCCATGCTGGCCATGACCGGCAAGAACTGCGTGGGCATCTGCTCAGACAGCCGCCTCGGGAACCAAGCGCAGACCGTGGCAACAGACTTCGAGAAGATCTTCAAGATGGGGGATCAACTCATGGTAAGCGGCAGCCAGCCAGCCAGCGGAGATGCTTGTACGCCGTCTCTGCACCAGCTCTTGACATCGTGGCCTCGTGGCGTGTACCCCATTTGAAACATGTTTTGCTGTGCCTTGTTGTAGCAGAGCAGCCAGGGTAACAGTAGATATCTACAGCTGCTAACATCCAATGGTGCGGGAGTTTTTCTATCTGGCGCAACGACTATTTACTGGCCACCATCACCTCACCCCAAAGCGAGTCATGCCTTTCCTGTTTTTAGAGAGTGAGTGCTGTGTGTAGTATTGCATCGCTCCTGGGTCAGAGGAGCATCAGCATGGAGTGGGTGTTTCTACGAGGGTGTTGGAATTGAAGTCATGGGTATCCATGAATCCATGCTGGGCCGGTTGGAAGTACCAGGGCCTGCGATGAAGTGTCCAGAAAACCAAGTCTCATGGAGTACACCTTAAGCTAGTGCAGCCAGGGCACCTCAAAGGCATCGTCCCCCAACAGTGCGGGACCCTAGCCCTAAGTGCGATCGAATCCTCTTGGCCTGTATTTTCGCACAACACAATTGGCCGCATGTTGCCCTATGCACACAGATGGGTTTTAAGTGGTACGGTATCGTGCCACTTTGCCACGCTAATGAGGAACCCTGACTGACTGCTCATGTTTAATTTTTCGTTCATCTCCCCTCACACGGGGTACATCAGTCTGGGAGGTAGGCTGGGCTACTCGATCTTACGATCTGAGATCGTTTCTCATCTCCTTTTTTTTGTTGACCGAACGAATCTGTGGGCTAAAGGTGGGGCTACCAGGGCTGGCGACGGACGTGATCACCATGAAGGAGCTGCTGACCTTCCGACTCAACCTCTACCGCCTTCGGGAGGAGAGAGAGATCAAGCCGGAGACCTTTGCGGCACTCCTATCCCACATCCTCTACCAGAAAAGGCAAGCCGAATAGCCTTATCTTTACCAGTGTTTGTTACCCCTACAATATCACATCTCTTCACCAGTGATCCCTCTTCCTCGTTTCGAGTCTTGGGGTCGACATCCTGCAATAAGTTAATTCCCTTCCCGTTTTTGCGGTAGGGTTTTCCATGTATGCATTTTCATTCGGTGTTTTTTATTGTCCCGGTTTTTTACGTGGTTTGACAGATTTGGTCCGTACTTCGTGGAGCCGATCGTGGCCGGGTTGAAAGAGGACAACACTCCGTTCATATCGGCGTTCGACCTCATCGGGGCTCCCGTGGTGACCGATGATTTCGTTGTGGGGGGGACTTGCACCAACAACTTGTACGGCATGTGCGAGAGCTTCTACAGGCCAGACATGGTGAGAGATTCATCAATTCTGGATCCCCCATGTTGTTGGTGGATTGCAGTACCACAAGAAATTTCCTACCCGTCTCGAATTCCTGGTCGGTGGACACCTACTGTGCTCTCGGCTCGGCAATGAGAAATGCCGAAGTATCACGGGGCACACATGCGTATGAAGTATGGCCAATACTTCGACCGTGCATGATACTGTAGCGAGCGCAACCCTCTTCGCGGAAGCACAACTAGGCAACTGCAGCCCCTCATGAGGTCGCCTTACGGCGTCAATATTACCTTTTGCTTGAGCAAGTCACACACCTTCCAGACTTGGTGGAGTAGCAACAACCCCCACAAGCCACAGCCTTTTTCTGTTAAAAATTGCGTGCTTTGTGTCTGCGGCCGTGGAATGAGACAGCATTCGCTTGTGCCTTGCTTGCGTACGTCCGTGCAGCGCAAACTACGCAAGACAAATCTCGTTCACTAGACCTCCCACCCCCCCTTTGGTTTTTGGCTCTCGCAGGACAAGGACGAGCTATTCGAGACGATGGCCCAGTGCCTCTTGACTTCGGTAGATCGCGATGCACTCAGCGGGTGGGGGGGCGTGGTTCACATCATCACGCCAGAGGGTATCATGTCCAAGACGCTCAAGGGCCGACAGGATTAGAGAAGAGGCTGGGAGATACCGATTTGCAAAGGACTGAAGCTTGGGAGTTAAAAAAGCTGCCACAGTTGTGTAGACAACAGCGGAACAGAGGAAGCTCAAGTTAGGCGCTATACAGCATCTGACGTCGTTGCCACCCACCGAACAACTACTATATTCCGGCAAAACAGGGCTTAGGCTGAAATAATCACGTGTCCGAGGGCGGGGTAGGGAAGAGCAATACACGTGTCGTTTCTGTCAAGTGTGGCAGAGAGAAAATCGTCTTGGGGGGTCTTACTGTGCTTGATTCTGCGGAGCGACGCCGCTAGATGGTTCGCCTGCCCAGGGCACGATAGCTGCTCGAGTACTTGAGAGGATGGCCTCACGATGTGATTGGCTGTTTTATTTTGTTGGAGGGTAGGGTCGTCGGGGCCGAAGAAAGCTGCTCTTGAGGAAACACAGTACCTTACCGGCAATATGTGTTCCGCGTAGCAGACAGTCGTGTAGATTTCGATTTTGACGGGACTTTCCTCATTTCGACGGTTTGACGACGCCTTGCGTGCCGTGCTTTTTCAGTCTGTTGCCCTTGGGAGACATGTACAG